GCGGAACTGATATATACATACCTCGCATGATAGCTGTAATTATACGTAATGTAATACTCAGTCTGAGTCCCCACCTGAACTGCTGGTTTGAAAATGTAAGTGCTGATCATCGGGATCCTGAACGAAGTGAAAATAATATAAACATTTACTAAATACTATGCTCAGACTGATAAAAATAGCTGATTAATATGTTAAGATGCTCTACTGGACTTTAACATGATATCTGGACTTAACCGGTATAATCGGAACTGAATAAACTCAGAACTGAACTAACATGAATTTACTGAACTGGACTGGACTCAGAATTTAACTGAAATTGGGACTTGAACATAAACCAGGACTTAAAATAATAAAATATGAAGAAACCGGTTTGAACTGTTTTGAACTGGCTTGGCTGGACCGCCGGTCTACTCGGACCGGTCGGTCGACGATTGACTCGGCCAACGGACCACCAAGGCCGCGTGCACGGACGCTGCTTGGACTGGCCGTGGGCACTGGCTGCTGGACGCAAACTGCACGTGAACATGAGCTGGTACGCACGCTGGCGGCCACTGGGCACGACCTGCGTGACTAACGTGCATTGGTGCGTCGTACACACCACGCCGGGTACTAGCGTGCATGCTGCGTGCACTGATCATGACCATCGGGTGCTTGCTGTGCACTGCCGACGATTAACAGAACACTGAGCTGCTGACTGGTGCTGTGCGGGCGCTACTAGGCGTCACCCGCTGCGCTGGCTACTCGTGCGGCTCATTTGGACGCTGCCGAGGCCATTGACGCGTGATACTGCGCGCTGGCATGCGTTACCGCACGCTGGCGTGCATAACTGGGTGTTGGCGTGCGCACGCGCATCGCCAACAGTCACCTGTTGCGGGTACTGGCCCTACGCGGCGCTATACCGCGCATCACCTACGCACCCTCACACCCGCCGGTACGCTGTGGCCGCTATGTGCGGACAACGCAAGTACGGCCGACCCTCGTCGGCCGTCCGACGACTTTCTCTGACAACATAAACATGTTTTCACATGTTTAAACGTAACATGACTATACATACTGATTTCACCTAAAAATTATGAACTTTACTCGATAATACCTCAAACAGCCCGTGGGCGTGCACTATGTGTGATGTCCACATTCTTAGGCCAATTCGTCGGTAAGACATGAACTTGTCTTGAGCTATCTTTCTTAAATGAACATTACACACTGAATAAAGACTAATAACACATACCTCCCTCGGGCAATACTAACTTAATGAAAAGATGGTTTAACATGACCTTAAATCGCCCTACCGAAGCTAATACGATTATTATATGAACTTAGGGCTATAATCTGAACTTAGCATGAACATAGTAACTTTAGAACAAAGTCAGGATCATATTACCCTTGAATTGCTCGAGGAAATTTGACAATGTTTCGATGATCAATCAGCTCCAAATGCTCCGTGCGTGCGTTGCAATGAAATATGCTTAATTATTTTAATCTTGGCTTTAGCTTACTATGTACTAACCTTTCTTACGTGTTTGCTGAATATTTAGCTAAGTGATAAGCTCTGATTTTTCCTCCCCAACATGACAATAAATAGAAGGTGAAATTGGTTGCTAACGTGAAGTAAAATTGGGCCAATAAAGGGGTGCAACTTGCTTTGTGTCTAAAGCATGAGTGTCTTGCCATTTGCTAACATTTTTGAAGACTTAAGTGATGAGTCACCTCAAAACTCTCCTAAAATTGCCACGTAAAGATGCTTGAGGGTGAGGAAATAGTTTCCTTGCTTGGAAGAAATTTCTTACGGCAATTGGAATATTATTCGAACAAAAGCTACGGCCTTAAGGAATTTGAACGTGATTAATACTTAACTAATCACAATTAAATGCTTAATTATTTAATTCAGCATAATACTTAATTACCAAAATTATTCCGAACGTAAACGGAACGTCGAAAATAATTTCAGGTAATTCTGACTGAAAATAATTAATTCCGAAAATAATACTCGACAATATTATTACATCGGAATTAAAACCTGATTTATATTACTAACATGACGGGATACTCCTGACTTGGACGATTAATCCAAATATTGAAATTTTGAATAATTCGTCAACTTAACTTATTAATTCCGAATTCCTTAAATAAGGAAAACGAATCGGAATTAAATCTGGAAACTTATCCGGTTACTGGAATAATTAACCGAATAATTTGTCGACTAATAGTCGAACATAGAATTTAACTGACTGAATTGCTTGAACTTGTACATGAACATGATTCTTTATTAACAAAGGCTAGCTTAAATTAAACGCTAGTATTTTCCTTTATTAATAAAACTCGGGGTGTTACAATCCACCCTCCTTAAAATATTTCCGTCCTCGGAAATACTAAACTGAAATGTCCAAGCTTAATATAAAGCTTATACTTTCCACTGACATGACTTGAAAATTCAGTATCGAATACTGAACCTTAGACTTGATCTTAACTGAAAAATCAACAATTCACAATTAAGTGAGTTGATGATTAGCACTGACTGAAACGGAACACTTTTCTGAAATAAAGTGTTCACTGAATAAATATAATTCTGAAACGGATTGATCTTCACTTCCTGGCTAACTACTGGTCTTCAATTGAACGTTGAGTGTGTGGAACTCCCCGTCGTAGGTACTCCCGGAAAAATTTCAGAGATGCGCACATGTGTACAAAAGAGGATAACTAGCAATCGTAGCAACTACCTTTCATAATTATCTACTCGACACGCGGCACACCATTCGCGGCACATCGTAATGCGGTATACCTGCTCCTCATCAAGTGAGTGCGGCACACCTACACACAGCACCTGGCGAAAATTGCACCTGCGACGTCGATGTAGTCTGTATGGCTGATCATATCTGTATCTTGGCTAGTAATCCTCAATGTACTAAAGTGCTAACTCTCTGTACTTTCCCAGTGTACTGTAACCAAACATGGTATGGCATCCTGTTCTTCTGGCATCATACATACTCGAATGGAAAACTTGGTTGTCACCATGGCATGATCTGCTGCTGTTGATTGGTCTTCTCCGCCGTGTCGAAAATCGACATGTTGTACCTGCAACTGTTTACCTTCCCTGAGGTCAAACTTAACCTCAAGAAAAGTTTATCATAAACTGATCCTTCCTACTAGTTCTCAAATCATCTGTATTTGAGAATCGAGGCTCTGAACATATTGAAAGTGACTGATAAGTCTTGTCTTATTAGACAGACCATCTTCGATCTTGACATGACTGTCCTGAATATTCTCATGATTGAATAACCATGACTTGATTCTTACATGACTAAATCATCTTGGCTTGAACACTGAAAGCTATCCCGAGACAACTACAATAGTCGCTTCGGAGTTGAGAACGTGATATTTACTGACTTACTTGACTTGGTAAGGTACGACTTCAAGTTTCCAGGTAAATCTGGACTAATAGTCTGTATATCAGACCGCCACATTTTACCCGGCTGAACAACTATTATACGCCGACCTTACATCATGAACATAAACTGTAAATCGTGAACATTGGCTCATGATTGTGTACTATATAGGGCTACTCCAGTATCAACTGGTCCCGCAAGTACTGAATAAATAACTGATCTCAAACCTTGGCAATTAAATTTCAGAGTATCTAACTGGTGAGATACCCGACTTAACTGACTCTAAAGGTTGTTACTTCTGGAACTGTGCTGCTCCGGTTTCAGCTTCAAGCCTCCATGGTATACCCGGCTTAGTGGCTCTTATTTCAAGCCTCCATGGTAACCCGGACTTTTTGGCTCTTATACACTGAATAACCGTTACTTGATAATAACTTAAAAATTTTAACAACCTTTAACATGAAAACTTGTTGCCCTGAACTTGCTTTACTGACTTGACTTAGGAAAATTAAACTTATTCCCAGTCTAACTCAAGGAATTTCCTCCTTGGAATATGCCAACTAATTGGCAAAACAGACAATTTTCAATAGAAAATGTCTGAGGAAATCTTTTGATTTTAAAATATATTATCAATAAGCGTACACATGTGTTTTTCAATCTATTTTTTTTTTTTTTAAAAAAATAAACTCCAATAATTGCACATCACTATCTATTTAACGTCTATTTATAGCATGTTTAAACAAATATAATTTCTCACATCCTCCAACATAAAAAAGCACTTGTTTGTTGCTTTCAAGAATGGCGGTCAAGTTGTTTGCATGCGTAATTGTTGTTGTTGTCAAATTCATATCTATGCTTCAAATATATGTGAGTACTCTTATATTATGTTGTCATTTATTTTTTAAAATATTTTACATGAATTGAGTAATCATAATCTCATTCAATCTAAATTAGTAGTAATGTATATATTATTATTGTTGTTGTTGTTGTATTATTATTATTATATTATTATTATTATTACTATTATTTCTGAATTTCCGGGTGGAAAAATACATCATTGAGGTCACAATTATCTATTCGACATCGATGATGTCCTTTCTTGTCATGCAATTCAAAAAATAATAGTAATAATATATATAGATATTACTATTAATTTAGATTGAATGAGATTATGAGAAATCAATTCATGTTAAATTTTTCAACATTTATAACAAATAAGCTATAAGATAATATAAGAGTACTCACTTATATATGAAACAACAACAATTACACATGCAAACAACTTGGACACCATTTTGGAAGCAACAAACAAGCGTTTATTAAATGTACTATTTTTTTGTTCTTCGAGGATTTGAGGAATTATACTTGTGTAAACATGCTACAAATAAATGTTGAATAATATATATATATATATATATATATATATATATAGATATAGATATTACTATTAATTTAGATTGAATGAGATTATGATAAATCAATTAATGTTTAATTTTTTAACAAATAAGCTATAAGATAACATAAGAGCGCTCACATATGTCTGAAACATGAATACGAATATGACAACAACAATTACACATGCAAACAACTTGGACACTATTTTGGGAGCAACAAACAAGCGTTTATTAAATGTACTAACTATTTCTTTGTTCTTGGAGGATTTGAGGAATTATATTTGTGTAAACATACTATAAACAGACAGACGTTGAATCGAGAGTAAAGTACAATTATCGGAGTTATTTTCAACATAATGTAATATTAATCATGTTTTTACCTACTTCACATCTTCAAGTAAGTTCAAAAATATGTAACGTTAGTTTGATTAATAGTATTATTTTTTCCTCCAAAAAGATTCCCAACACTCCTAGCAGCCTTTTTTGCGACTCTGAAAGAAAACCGCTTCGTGCAGTTCAAAAATCTCTCTCTCTCTCTCTCTCTCTCTCTCTCTCTCTCTCTCTCTCTCTCTCTCTCTCTCTCTCTCTCATTGTTCATCACAGGCTCCGTCAATCGAAACCACAAACCCAATCTAATTCGTGGACAGCATCGGTACTCGATTTTCCGATTAATCGGAAAATATAACGGAAATGGAGGCGTGTCAGAAGATTGATCTTGAATTCGAAGACGACGGTCTCATCGACGACAAGACGTTTTCAGGTTCTTCCCCCTTTTTTCTTACTCTATTGCTCTACATTTACTGCCTCCTTGCACAAATCGGTCCGTATGAAGCTGTTCTCGAGTGCTTCGGTACAAATCGTAGGCTAAACGCCGTGTTTTTGTTTGAATTGTTCGATTTTGAGAAGTTGGAGCTGAAAATGGACTCGATTTCAACTTTGAAGATCGGATTGAACTTGGGGCTTTTGGTTAATTGCTTCAGGATATGTATGTACACTAATCGAAGTTGTTTTGGAGTGTCCTGGTACTCATAGTAGGTTAAACGCTGTGCTTTTGTTTGAATTCTTTGATTTTTTTGTTAAAGCCCTCCTTAATGTGGCCATGGGTGTTGATCTACTTGTAGTATCTGTACATCATGATTTTCTAAAAGGGCGTGTGTTCAATCAGTGCCAATCTCAAGCCAGTCAACATAGATTTTAAAAGAGTTTTGCTTTAGAACCCAATGGTGAATTGTAGCTTGCTTTATAATGTATGTTCTCATTAGTTTTATTCATTGTGATTTTTTTATTTTAAATTTTTTGCGTTAACATGGAATGTGTGAATGCATAGTGGCACTTAATTTTGTTTTCTTCTAAAAAATTCATTTGGGCTCAACACTCGTGAATTGGCAGGAGGATTGATTACTGAAAAAGAAGGTGATGATGGTCTTATTAGTGAGATTGGCAACTTGCCGGAATTGTGTGAATCAGCGGAACCTCAACAAAACCAGAAAAACAGGAGATATAATTTGCGTAAAAGTTTGGCTTGGGACAGTGCTTTCTTCACTAGTGCAGGTACTCTAAATTCTAGGGCCTTCCAATCTCCTTCAACAGGAATCAAATTCTCTTTGCTGGTAATGATTTAATCATATTTTCTCCGAAACTTTAGGAGTGCTAGATGCGGAAGAATTGTCAACCATAATGACAGGAGCAGATAAGGGAGAGAAACATGTGTTACCAGGAATTGAAGAGGAAATTACGAGGTCGACTGAGTCACTTTCTACTCTTGGAAGTGATACTTTGACGATGGAAACTATTGAGGAAGACTTGTTTGTGGACATCAGAGCTTCCATTCAAAGATCTAGTAAGAAGGCATTGAATTTGAGAATGTCAAACAGTGAGGCATCTGCTGTGAGGATAGATAGCACAGCCATTTCATGTAAGTAATCAGTTTCTATCTAATGTGAGTCCTGATACTAGGTGCGGATATTTCCCTCTGTTTCTTCTTGAATATACAAGGATACCACCAAAGATTTATTTGGTGGTACGGAAATATGCTCTGAATCTGGGGAACATTGAATTTAATGTCAATCCAGTGATAGATGAGACCAGAATTAGTTTTAGAAAATAGAAAGGGATAAAAAAAGAGCACTGCTATCAAGACTTTCGGTCCAAGGTGCTAAAGCAGCTTTCATTGTTTAGTATCAATTTTCCCTGCCCTTTAGTTATGTCAGAGAGAATATGCTCGACTGCTGCCTGTAATCAACTTTTCATGTGATGCCAGTTTTCGCATCTACTTGGTTGATTTGTAATTATTCTTGCACTAATATTGGTATTCATATTCAGCAATGAAGAAGGAAGACAATATCTCCCAAAATACGGTAGGTTGCCGTAAATGAAAACTAATTAGGAATTATTGATGTTTTGAATTGTTTTAATGCATACTGATTTCTATTTCTTATTCTGCAGAACCAAAAACCTGGTGTAAAGAAAACCAGTAGCCTGCCAACTGTTAGGATGTCTAAATGTCAGGCAAAACAAAATATTGGAAAGTTAGAAACAGGGAAAGCAACCAAGCAGGATTCTGTTCACTCACAGGTGAAACAGGGATATGCATTTGCTTTGAATTGTTTTGCTTCTTCTCTGCTGATTCTTTCTACATCATATGAATTTTATTTATTATGATCTTATGTTTATGCTGGTTATAAATAATCATAAACAAGGCCTTTCATGTCCAATAATTTTATTTAACTTAATATAAGGTTAGATGCGATCTCTAGATTCAATCAACTTATGACATTCCATCCTATTTTGTATCTTAAGCACACAGTTATCAGTTTCCTTTGAAATCAATGTATGGTTACTTGAAATGTTTTTAATTTTGTTAGGTGATTCATTTTGTGTTTCTCAGACTGACACCAACTCCTTTTTCCTATAGAGGCCTATGGCTAAGATTGGAGGGACAAGTTCCTTAATTTTTCCTAAACCACCCAAGACTATCAGCAGCTTCATCCCCTCATATGCAGCAGCAGGAAAGCGGGATTCTGTAGGAACTGGTCGTGCCAAAAGTGGAATCTCAAATCCTGGTGGGTGAATTATCTGATTGCTGATTAGGGAAGCCTTTTTTTCTTTCAATTTACTCGATTCAACTTTTACAACTTAAATCGCAATAATATTGGTTTTAAAAGTGCCACTATTAAACTATTTAATCTATTATTCTCTTTTTACACCACAAATCATACATTAAATGTAGTTTCTCATGCTATTATTAACTTGACAGCAATCCTTCCCGGTAAAGGGACTCAACCACCAAAAGTATCCTCCTTAGGTGGTGCTAGAAGGGCGTTGCCTAAGCCTGCATCATCATCATCAAGTAGTTCTTTGCTGCCTTCTTCAACTCCATATTCTGTGCAGTCCAGAAGGTCCTCCACCTCAAGTGACAGTTCAAGTAACATCTCATCAAAAATAAATCCAGTCAAATCTAATCTAATGCCGGCGAGAAGGAATATAGGTAAAACCAGCAACATCGGTACCGGTCCTCCGGCATCATCGTCATCATCATCATTATCCAAGATTGCCATCCCTAATAAAACTCCTTCAAGAGCTACTCCGAAGACCAAATTGCCATCAACATTATCCAAGATTTCCTCGAATGTATCTCCAGCTCGTTCGATTAGCGAGTGGTCTTCGGCATCATCGTCATCATCATCTTCAATGGTCAGCCATAAGTTCAGTAACTCCGCAAACAGTATAGATACCAGTTCTTGTAGGTCTGCAGATGGCGATGTGATTCCTTTGGATCCAACGAATCCTTCAGTGGGTCAAACTTCTGACGGGCCTAAATATCAGGAGGTTATTTTAACAAGTGAAAACTCAAAGAGGCCGACAGCACAAACTGGCGGCAAACTTCATGCTCCAGGAAAACCGTCAGGATTGCGAATGCCAGCCCATAAATTTGGATTTTTTGACGGGGTTAGTTTTCAGTCTTTGGCTTAGTCGAAATTTAAATTTCATTGAATGGGGCAACATTGATAAAATTCATGAATGGAAACCTTTCTTTGATGCAAGATGTTTCTTGCTTAGATAACTATTTCCCATTATTGCTTGTTAGTTTGATATGCATAAAAGGCACCATTCATGTCTTCCCCGACGTTGAAGTTTAGTCTAATTACAAAACCCAAAACACCCCACCCATTAAAACTCAAGTGTGTATTTTTAGTAATAACCCGGGGAGTATAAGTGATTTCGAAAGATTCAACCTTTTCTTGTAACTGTCAAACTCAAAGTATTTGTAACTATCTTTCAGGTGAAGTCATCTGTTAACTCTCCTAATAGGCATCAACGGTCTCCATCTGCACCATCTGCAGCGCAGAACAAGTCCCCCAGGAATGGACCTTCTTCTCTACACATTCCAGTGAGAAGCTCTATCAGCAAACCGAAGACTGCTAATGATAAGGTCTCAACACCTAAAATGGTTACTTTTCAAAAGCCCATACAACCGACGTCCTCTAATGAAGAAAAATCAACGGACATAAAAGATTCTCCCAACTTGTTTGTTGGAGTTTCTAAAGTTAATATTGCATCTGAAGGAACTTTTCAAGACCAAAAAAATGCTGAGACTGAAGATCGAGCTGAGCAAGTATTTGGAAATACAGGTGGGGTTAGTAGTATCAAGGAGAGTTTAGATGCTTTGAAAATTGAAGGTGGTGATGTGGCGGTTAATGAAGCATGCAGAGTGCCCTTAGCTCCCGTGAATTCTTTCGTCAGCAGCGAAAATGCTGATGTGGTGAAAGAGTCAGTTGTCCAGGTTGTGGATAAGACAGGGATTATCTTGCCTGCCCTTGAACAGAAAGAGAACTGCTAAGTATAAGGGGTTTTGCTTTTGGGTTTGTTTTTAAGGCCGATCGAAGGTCAGTTGGGGTTTCAGCTATTGGTTGCTTATAGTGCAATGTGCTGAAGAAAACTAAAGACAGTGGTTTTCTACTTAATGTTACATACTTCCATTCCATTCGCAGATGTCAGGTACTCGGGTTGTATTGTCTTACGAGAAATGTACTTTTAGATACCGATTTCGAGCTTCTACATTTGGTCTTTTGAGCCTAAGAGTATTGAAATTACTGAACAATGAAGCTTTGAGACCTTTATATATGAGCAGTAGTGTGTAACTACTGATTTGGACGAGTTGCAATTGCTAGACATTCGATCACCATCAGTTGGGAAAACATGTAATCCATAGTTAATGATATATAATACAACCTTTGATTTATTTAGTTTCACTTTTAGTTTTTAAAAGTGTGTTGGATAAAATGAGAGTAGAGTTTACATTTGCACAAAGTTATTAGTGGACACAGAAATTATTGCACCATATTTTTTTAGCTCTTAAATTTTCAAGATGGTTCAATTCATATGAACAACAACATAGTTTTTTGTCCTAAGCAAGTTGGACTAAGCAAGTTGGAGTAGGCTAGAGATGAAACTCAAGAGAACCAATGGTAAGAGAAACACAAAAAAGGCTCAAAACAAAAGGAAGAGATTGGAGCAAAAGTCACGGTTCTGGCGTGTTGATTCTTAGCCTCCAAACGCTCCTATCCACCGCTAAATCCTTGGAGATATTCCAATCTTTAAGGTCTCTTTTAACCGACTCTTCCCAAGTGAGTTTAGGCCGACCTCTACCTCAATTCAAATGAACAACAAACTCAAAAATTTTAGGCAGCAGGTTCAAAGAATTGAATTTTATTCTCAGAACCAATTTCGGGGTGATTTGTAAATATTCCAAGAATATATTTCCAGCAAAAATTAAACACCAACTAATTAGCTGCCGAAAGCTTGATGGATATGGAAATGAAAACCAAACCTTCCCTTGATTGTAAAATAACAAAACCCTGAAAACTCCAAGCACATAAATCTTCAAAACCTCAGTCATTCATCATGAGCTCAGACATACGAGAATCGGGTTTGACATTTTAAACAACAGAGGAAAACAAAAGTTCACTTAATAAACTTAACATAACATATCAATAGATTTCATCTCAAAACTTAAGATGCCGTTTGTGGTGGAAAAAAAGGAGTCGAATGACTTAAGACCTTGGCTTCTCCTTTTTCTCCTTAAAGAGTGCCAGAAGTGAAACACCAGAAACCTTCACCACCTTAAACCTAACACCAGGAATATCTCCCACAGCATGTCCCTTACGTCCAAACCCGGCAATCAATACCTCATCCTAAACCAAAAAAAAAAAAAAGACAAATTAAATAATCGATCAGGAAAATAAAAAATGGCAAAAGAAGAATCACATAAAAGTGAACGAATAACAGAACTCACGTTTTCTTCAATGTAGTTCAAACAACCGTCATTGGGGACAAAAGCAGCGATTTTCTTTCCATTCTTAATGAGCTGAACCCTAGCACACTTACGGATGGCAGAGTTTGGCTGCTTAGCTTCAATGCCTCTGCAAATAATGTCAATAACAGATCTCATGAGTCTAATTAAACAAAAAAAATCATGTAGAAATGTAATGCTGAGAGTGTGAAACCATGTAGAGAGGATATCTAACATTTTCTCGAGCACAATGCCCTTGGCGTGAGATGAGCCAGCAAATGGCTTCTTCCACTCGTTCCCAAGGTGGGATTTCTTGTAGGCCTTGTCAGCCCACCTTTGCCTTATCCGGTGGGACTTCAGCTTGCGGCCAGCTCCCATACCACGTGTCTTCCTGCAAAATAGTATTGTCACAACAACCCCTAATCATCAATGACCAAATTACTCGTGGAAGGAGAGAGAGAGAGAGAGAGAGAGAGAGAGAGAGAGAGAGAGAGAGAGAGAGAGAGAGAGAGAGATATGTTTTTGTAAAAGAGAAAAGCACATGCATAATATTTCTAAGGGAAAATTCCTTTCATATATCATTGCACAAGGCAAGCCTAAGCTTCAAAAGCACTGTTTAACAAAATACCCTACTTTTAAAAAATAAATCTACAAGCTTATCAAAATGAATCACACAAGCAATAACTTTGATCTGCAGCCAATATAGCTCCTAAATTGGATGCATAAATGACTCGATAAGCTTGTCTACTAAATCACTCAGGCACGAACGGACTCGAACTTTGACGAACAATTATACGGACCAACTAACACGAAAAGTGTCCAAACATAACCGAACACGAGCTCGAAATGCTCAAGCTCCACTCGTTCAATTCGATTACAGCCCTAACATATCCTCCAAAAATCTACCTAGAAAAGATACATATAAAGCATGAATTTTTGAACTGTAGAGATGTCCCCATCTAACTGAACAAACGAGAAGAAAAAAGGAAAAACGAAACCAGATACTTCACATGAGCTAATTCAGCTAAGGAAGCTCTAAATACAGTCAATACATCAGATTACCCAGCTGACTGTGTAGAAGCAAATCAATCATTACTCATAGCCATGAACACAGCTAGATAAAGTGCAAGATAATATGTGATTGCATACCCCATGATTGCTGAGCTCGGAAAGAGTGGAAATGGAGATTGAGGCTTGCAGAGGAGATGCTGGCTGAGGTGTGCGTAAAAACCCTAGTTTCAGAATCCCAAACGAGCGATGGAGTAATAAGGGGATCAGTTATTAGTGGGCCTGGGCCGATATAGTGGTTATTGGGTTGCTCCGGCATTTATTGGGTTGGGCCCAAATAATGATGGACTAATGTAGCTAATTATACGTGTGACCAGAGAACAGTAGTCGGTTCCCCTGTGGATCCGAAAACCGGAAGGTCCCTATACCAAAAAAAAAAAGTCTTATATACTTATCATTGGAAGAATCCGTTGGAATTTTTTTTTTTTTAAAGAAAAAAAAAACACACTTACTAAAAATTTTGAAGACCCTTGCCCGATTCTTTGAATCGGACAGGGAAAAAAATTAACAAGTATTGCTACTATGCTTATTAGCGGTTAGACAATCATTTTTTCTATCAAAAAAAAAAAAAAAAAATGCATACTATACTACTAAATTTTGTTTATATTCTATAATAAAATGTGATATTTGAATATAAAAATATGTGTATTTACTAAAAAAGAGCACGACGGTCTAACCATTAGGAATGTGAAAAATTGGCCAATAACTTTCATTATGCCAATAACCAATTAATTAATTGAAAAAATGAATGTAAAGAAAAAGAGGAAAAAAAAAGATAATATAGATTAAAAATCAAAGATCATTGGTCTCTTAAATCAACACAAGTACATAACATAACAGTTATTAGTTATTACACCTAAATATATCCGAAAATAACTGCCGCCACAAAAATGGCTTTTACAATGAAGAATTTCAAGAACTTGTCACCAGCAAAAGCACCACAACAATTTGGCTGTTTTTGAAACAGTTAATCATCACTATCCCCTTCTTTTTTATTTCTGCCCTTTCTTCAACAAAACACCGATCTTTTTCAACACATTCCCATTTTTCTTCACACCCAAATCATCATCCGAAAATGGCGACGACCCCATTTTCCCGCCGATTATCTGGTAATCGAGACCGCCCATTTTTTCGACAAATTTCCCATTATTATTCCCATCCGAGAGCATGGCAGCAGCTGCTTCGGCTGCCTTTCTCCACTGATCGGACTGAACTTTCAGCCTCCTAAGCTCGGCTTCCATTTCTGAGCCAGCAGCTTGAGCAGCATCAAGTTCCTTGGCTAGCCGCTCGGCTTTTCGGCTACTTTTATCAGCTTCTTCAGTCATATTTTTCAGCTTCATAAGCACTTCTCGTTCAGCGGCTCTAGCTGCGTCAGCCTTAGCAAGCTCACCGTCTCTTTCTTCGCTTTTTTCGGCTTCTTTTTTCAAGATTTCGGATTTAAGCGACTCGTTCTCTTCAGTAATGGCCTGCAGGCGCATTTCTTTGTCTACTAAGTTTGCTTTTAGGTCTTCTAAAGTATATTCTGCTTTTTTTTGCTCGAACTCAAGCTCACTTTGTACTGCATTTTCTTTTTCGATCATTTTTGTCTTCAGTTCCTCAAATTCAGCTTTCGATTCATTCAACTTAGCCTCCAGTTCAGATTCCCTTTTGCAAGATTCAATTTTTACAAGCTTGACGAGCTCATTCGCGTCTTTTATCTGCTCGGTCATCTCTAGGTATTCGTCTCGATACCTTCTCTCAGCATCCTCAAGGGCATCCCTTAATCGACTAACCTCATTCCTCAAGTTATCAATCTCAGTTTTCATAATTTCCTCGTTTTCAGCCGAATTATTCTTGCTGACATTAGCAAAATCGGCCTGGAATTTCTGAACGAGTCCCTCCAAAAAGCTCACTTTGCTCCTCGACTCGTTCAATTCCACCAGCAATGATTTATACAATTCCATAACATTACCATTTTCCAAATTTAATTTCTCCTCGGCATTCTTAACGACTTCCAAAACCATTTGGGCCCCACAAACTTCCTCCAGGGCCCGTTCTTCCGATTCTCTACACTCGGTCAACTGGCTTTTCAACGTCTCGACGAGCTTTAGAGTTTCTTCGAGTTCGATCCTCAGGCTGTGAACCTCTGCGTGTGCTGACTCGGCATGCCTCGCTTGAGAAGCTTCTGATTCGGAAACTTTGTTGAGTTGGGATTTGAGCCTTTGGATCTCGTTAAGTGCCGAAGCTAAAGCTGAAGAGTCCATCGAGTGCTGTTTTTGAATGGCTTCCAGCTCGGATTGCCATGCCTTGTCTCGTTCTTGAGAAATTTTGCGTAGCTCCTCGATTCGAGCATCCTCAGAATCCGAAAGATCGTGCAGCTGCTTTTGGGTTTTGTCGAGCTGGGCTAAGATGGTCGCCAGCTGGATTTTTGCCTCGTCAGCATCCTGCTCGGCTTTTTTCTTGCACGACTCGGATGAGACCAACTGGTCCCTGGCGATTTTTAGCTCGTCTTGGAGATGGGCCAGCTGGGAATCTAGTTCAGAAACTTTGCTTGGTTTTTTCTTCTGAGTTAATTAAAAAATCAAAAAAAAAAA